TTTTTTTTTTTTTTTTTTTTTTTTTTTTTTTTTTTTTTTTTTTTTTTTTTTTTTTTTTTTTTTTTTAAGCTTTCACTGTCTCCTCCTTTCTCCCCCATTGTTTTAAGGGCTAAATGTCAGTTTGTCTTTTGACACTTGAGTGGCTCTTCAATCCTTCTTTAATAATTTCGGGGTTTACAAAGTTGTTTTGGAATTTTATTTTCTCCATTCCAAGTAGTAGTGGGTGGGGTGATCATCCCAGAAAGCAAATACGACAATACCTATGAAGCTCTAGCAGAAAGTGAATGTCTATCCAAGTTTCAAAAAAGTTTGAGAGGAAGATTATGGTTTATTTTGTGTTTAATAGATCCATGAACTTTTGATAATATCTAACAACTCAATGATAAAAATGATGATAGAATCTTCATAATATACTACTTTATGAGTTGGTAGACAGTGAAACGATGAATTATGTCACTTAAAGAGAGAAAAGTTTTCAATTTCACACCATTTTAAGATAATTAGATGAAATTTCAACTTTTTCTCTTTTAGATAATTTAACATCTCATCTAAATTTCTACCGATGGCTAAGTATCATGTTATCATAAGATAATTTTAACATTCATTGGCAGAACTCAAAGTCGTTAAAATATATAATTGAAACCTTTTAAACAATATAACTAAATTGAAGAGATTAAGATAATATATTACCTTGTCTTGTAAAGCATTTGCACCCACTTCGATTGATTCCATTAAATAATTGCTTGATCCTACAAAATTTGATTGTCATGAAATGAGTGAGATTAGGAGATCACTATAACATATTCCGTTGAACTTTAAGAATCTATACTAAATGCCACAAAGATGAGCTTTAGATGAACCATAAATCCACAAAGATCAGAACAATTTTTGTAAAAAAAAATTGAAAATATATAAATGAAGGGTAAGAGATTTCTTTCAAGGCATAGGCAACTTATTCTCATCTTTAGCACCAAACAGATTAGTGGCATTCTTTCAGCTACTTGGCTACCTAGTTTCAAACGCATGCGGATTCTCCCACTTGATTTAATCCTGTTGTAGAAACCTAATATTACACTGGCCTTCCATAACCTATTTATCTATCCCTCCCAACTAATTTGAACGTTTTTTTTTAGTGTTTTTATATTTGTCTAGTGCATAGTTGATCTTCATATTCGATAGAAATCAAATGTTACACCTATCTTTTACAATTAATCTATCCTTTGCAACCTATTTAGACGTTTTTGGAGCCTTTTTATATTTGTCTAGTAAATAGTTGATCTTGTCGTTCGAGAGAAACCAAACGTTATACCTATTTTTCACATTAAAATTATATATCCCTTTAGACATTTTTAGAGCATTTTTATATTTGTCTAGTGCATGGTTGATCTTGTCATCCAATAGATAACTAATATATATCTACAATTTGGCCTTTTTTGGAGCATTTTTATATTTGGCTAGTGCATAGCCAATCACGTCGTCCAATAGAAACCAAATGTTATACATGGCTAATCAATTTATCTATCCCTTGTAACCTATCAATCATTTTTAAAGTCATGTGTGTATAAATGATGTCGTTTTACCTGTCATTTCATGACGTAGGAGAATTTTTTAGTTTAGGTTGCGCAACTTTGTAGAACACCTAGCTTGAGAGAATTAGGAGAACTTTTAGAGGTTATGAAAAGGGGACGTGGGCTAATGACTAGGCTTCACTTCTCTTTTTGGATGTCAACTTCTAAGGATTTTTGCAACTATTGTTTTATCTTTTGATCTCTACCATTCGCTCTTGCTTGTAACTTTTATAGGTTAATTTCGTCATGGAAGCACCTCATCTAGAAAGTTTTTCTTCTTTTTCTATAATTTTTGTTTGTTTTCTTTAATTAGTCTTGATGGAAGCTTAGTTTTTTCATTTAAAGGGAAAAAAATATTATTCATGTGCAATTCAAATATACTAACTTCTTCCTAACATACATTCAAGTTTCTTGTTATAGAAAGAAGCACTACATTTTTCATTCACAAACAATATTATCTTTCATGTAAAATGCGATTTGTAAACTAACTTTTAACAAATGTAAAACTTAAAACAATCCCCTTTATGTCAAAATTTGTAAACGAGAAGATTTTCTAAAATCAAGAGAGATCTGTAAAAACCACTATTACAAAAAAAACTACAAAAGTAAACAGAGAACCAAACAAATGAAAGATATTAGAAAACAGAGTGGATTTAGAATGTCAAAACGTTACCCCATGGTCGCAGACTTTCATGACACAACCACAGCCAGAAAAACAGAAAGCAAAGATCATTATTATATATATAATAGTACCAGAAATAGTATCAGCACCAACCTATTCATCCCTTAGTTGATGGCTTCGCACGATAAGGAGTTTGAACTGCATATTCCTTCCACATTTCAAATTAGTTTATTTTGGCCTTGAAGCCTTTTGTTTCAATACTTTAATCTCTCTGAAAAATGCCAGATGTAACAATCCATATTATTGTTGAATGTGTATCACAATATTTGCTCATGTCAATCTACAACAACTATATATGATGTGACAGAGAGAATATTTTGAAGTTTGTATTACCTTCCTGGAAAATACTTTTCCGTAGTCCTCGGGTGCTTAGTTCTTTACTTTTCTGACTTGAATTCTTGTTTTACGCTTGCATTGGTTGTACTGTCCTGTATAATTTCAATGGCTTACAAAACTAAACATTAAGTAAAGAAAGAATAATATCTAGTGAAAGGGTCTAAGTTTCAATGGCGTACCATTACTACTGGTTTTGTGACTGCTACAATTTCTTCAAAAACAGATCTCTCCAGAGATGTTGAGATGAAATACCTACATGTTTAAGGGTCTGCATAGAATATGATTACGCATCCAAATAATGAACAAGTGGACTTTCAAACAGATAATATACCTACCAATCCATCCTACTTCCACTAACATGCTTTTTATTATTTTGAAGTTTTGTCTGCAGTTTTCAGGTTTTCTTCTACATAATTCCTAAACAGAATGAATGCATGTAAGTTTATGTATGGACATCAATTTGTCCAGACTAAGACAGTTTTGTTTGTTTTCAAACAGCTCTACAGGATCGCCCAACTTATCTTTGAACAGGTTCTCTCTCAGTCTCTCCCTAGTCTCACCCTAGTCTCTCCCTAGGACCCTCCGGCTATCTCTCTCTCTCTCACTCTCCCTCTGATTTTTTAACTATAAGAACAGAACTCTCCTCGTTCATAAAAATGAACGGAAGCCAACTGTAATTTCATTGATTTGGCTTGACCAACAAAGACTGGAAGGTCTGTTGGAACCAGAGAACATGGTTATGTTCAGAGATATTCAGCAACAGATTAGCTAAAAGGACATGATTTGTCCTCGCCCTTTGCCTAGGGGTTCAGACACACTTTTCTGCTTTTCCCATTTGAGTTCCTAGCACAGCTGTAGAAATGCATGCAAAACAGTGGACCCTCTTCACCATATTATTCCTGCTTTTCTCCTTCTCTTTAATCGCCTCTGCCGTCGACCATCAAGGCCAAACTCTCCTATCATGGAAACAATCTCTGAACTTATCGGCCCAAGAGTTGAACAATTGGGATTCAAATGATGAAACTCCTTGTGACTGGTTTGGAATCACCTGCAACTTCAAACGGGAAGTTGTGGAAATGGAATTCAGGTACGTGGAATTGGGGGGTAGAATTCCCACTAATTTTAGCTCATTGTTGACCCTGAACAAGCTCATCTTGGTGGGAACAAACCTCACTGGTTCAATTCCTAAAGAGATTGGCGATCTAAGAGAATTAAATACATTGGACCTGAGTGGCAATGGCTTGACAGGAGAAATCCAAATTGAGATATGTGGTTTGCTCAAGCTCGAAAATGTCGATCTCAGCTCAAATAGACTTGTGGGCTCGATACCAGCTGAAATTGGGAATCTTACGATCCTTAAAGAGCTTGGTCTTCATGATAATCAACTTAGCGGTCAAATTCCCAGAAGCATAGGTAACTTGAAGCAGCTTAAGGTGATCAGAGCTGGTGGGAACAGAGACATGGAAGGCAATATACCTCCAGAAATTGGGAACTGTACCAATTTGGTTTATGTAGGCTTTGCAGAAACCAGAATTTCAGGCTCTCTGCCACCCAGTTTAGGCTTGCTCAAGAAGCTCAAAACACTCGCATTGTACACAACCTTTCTCTCTGGCCAAATTCCTCCTGAAATTGGAAACTGCAGTGAGCTCCAACACATGTTCATCTATGAGACATCGCTCGCAGGCTCGATTCCAACCAGTTTCGGGAATCTCCAGAACCTGCAAAATCTGTTTCTATATAGGAACAGATTGATGGGCACGTTGCCAAAGGAGCTTGGAAACTGTCATCAATTATTGAGTATTGACATTTCAATGAATTCTTTGACGGGAAGCCTTCCAACCACATTTGGTAACGTGACTTCGCTACAAGAATTGAACTTGGGAATGAACAATATATCAGGCGAGATCCCAGCCGAGATTGAGAATTGGAGGGAACTTACTCACTTGATGCTTGACAACAACCAAATCATGGGTTTGATACCATCAGAACTAGGGAATTTAAAAAATTTGAGAACGTTATTCTTGTGGCATAACAAGCTCGAGGGAAGTATTCCGTTTTCAATTTCTAGCTGCCAGATGCTTGAAGAGATGGATTTATCAGTCAATAGCTTGACAGGCCACATTCCTGGAGAAATTTTCCAACTCAAGAAGCTTAACAGCCTCATGCTCATCTCCAACAATCTTTCGGGCGTTATACCTCCAGAGATCGGAAATTGTTCATCGCTAAATCGTTTCAGAGTTAACAAGAACATGCTTTTCGGCGCTCTCCCACCCCAGATTGGGAATTTGAAGAATCTGAGTTTCTTAGACCTTGGAGAGAATCGGTTCTCTGGAGTAATACCTGATGAGATTTCTGGGTGCAAGAATCTAACATTCATCGATATACACTCCAATTATATTACTGGAGCTTTACCCTCAGGTCTCAGCCACCTTATTTCCCTTCAAATCATCGACTTCTCGAACAATTTAATTGAAGGGAATCTAAATCCTGGTCTCGGACTGTTGAGCTCGCTCACAAAACTCATTCTGTACAACAATCGATTTTCCGGCCCAATCCCAAGTGAGCTCGGTTCCTGCTTGAAGTTACAATTATTGGACCTGAGTGTTAATCAACTTTCCTGTAATCTTCCGGGAAAGCTGGGAGAAATTCCGGCGCTGGAGATCGCTCTAAACCTAAGTTGGAACCAACTTGAAGGCGAGATACCGAAGGAGTTCGCTTATTTAGACAGACTCGGAATCTTGGATCTCTCACACAACCACCTCAGCGGCGACCTCCAAATCATCGCCGTAATGCAGAATCTTGTGGTACTCAACATCTCCGATAACAATTTCTCAGGCCGAGTTCCGATGACTTCCTTCTTCCGAAAACTCCCTCCTAGCGTTCTCTCCGGTAATCCAGATCTCTGCTTTGGCAGCCAGTTCACCGACGAAAATGGAGGCAAAAACTCAAGGCGTGAATCAGCGTCTCGCATAGCAGTGGTGGTGCTACTGTGCATAGCTTGGACGCTTCTCATGGTGGCGTTTTACATGAGCTTCGGATCGAAAAAAAGGGCCCAAAGACGCTTCTACGACGACCACGACGGCGACGGCGTCGATAGCAACTTGGAGATTGGCAATGAACTCGAATGGGAGATGACGTTCTATCAAAAGCTCGACCTATCAATATCTGACGTCGCAAAGAAACTGACAGCTGGCAACATCCTCGGCCGTGGCCGATCCGGCGTCGTTTACCAGGTCAACATCCAGCCCGGTTTAACAATTGCCGTCAAACGGTTCAAGACATCGGAGAAGTTCGTCGCCGCCGCATTCTCCTCTGAGATCTCAATTCTAGCCAGTATCCGACATAGGAATATCATCCGGTTGCTCGGTTGGGCAGCAAATCGGAAAACGAAATTGCTATTCTACGACTACTGGCCACACGGAAGCCTTGGCGATCTGTTACACGAGCGGTGCTCTAGTGGATATGTAATCAGCTGGAATGCTCGGTTAAAGATCGCCATCGGCGTGGCAGATGGATTGGCTTACTTGCATCACGACTGCGTTCCCGCGATTTCGCATCGTGACGTGAAGGTCCAAAATATACTGTTGAGTGATGAATACGACGCGTGCCTCACAGATTTTGGATTCGCTAGATTCATTGAAGACAATCCGAACAACTCCTCGTCGGCAAATCCACAATTCGTCGGATCTTATGGCTACATTGCACCCGGTGAGCACTAATTTCGGTTTGGTAAACCTAATTTTTCAATCAAATTCAACTTTCGACTAACAGTGATTTCATTGATAGAGTATGGTCGCATGCTAAAAGTAACAGAAAAAAGCGATGTGTATAGCTATGGAATCGTACTTTTAGAGATGATTACCGGAAAAAAGCCTGCTGATCCTTCATTTCCAGAAGGCCAACACATAATCCAATGGGTTCAGCATCATCTATACAGCCAGAAAGATCCAATCGAGCTTCTGGACCCAAAGCTTACGATCCATCTCGACGCGGAAGTTCAAGAAATGTATCAAGTCCTCGAAATCGCTCTTCTGTGCGCCTATCATCGCGCCGATGATCGCCCGACAATGAAGGACGTTGCTGCATTATTGAGAGGAATTCGAACCGACTCAACAATGATGACGATCAAGGGCAACAAACGTAGTAATAGGCTGAAGAGATTCGAAATTCAGTCGTATTAGTCCATCTTCATCAATGCAAGAACAGAGCCTTGTTCTTTGGTTTAGCCGTCATTTTCCCGGTAATTCCTTGTTCTTCTGTTAGCCCTAGTACTTCCCGCCATAAAAATGCTTTCATTTAAATGAACCGAAGAATTTCACGGGCCGGAGGCAGAGAGTGAATAGAGCTAAAGCCCATTGTTGATGTTTGAGCCCAAAGTAAGCCCAACACGCTGAGATTGTACTCGGGATAAAATTATATTTAAAAAACTGCCCTCCACCAAAAAATCTTTCGATGTGGGACTAATATATTTTGAATGAGGGAAGTGTAGGATTGATATATTTTCGATGTGGGACTGATATATCTTTCATTCTCATCCCAAAATCTTCCAATTATACACATCTCCATGTTATTATCAAGCTTTTGAATCGATATCTCGTGTCTTTTAAACGAGCACATCTTTGAAAAGAAGAAAATAAATCATCTATATCGTACTCATCCGGTAAATAATGAAAAATTAAATTATTTTTACTTAATTTTAGTTCGTTATAATTCGTAAATACGAGTCGAAACAATGTTGGTTACCTGATCGACATCATAATGTCTCGGATTAAAAGTGATTTTTTCTAGTCTCAAATGAAAAATATGAACTTCACTAATTACCCTAGTGTCTAAAATGAAAAATCCCGACATTGTCAAGGAACGAGCTCCACGAGAAAATTTGACACTCCCTATCAATGTAAATTTAGTCTCAAATTACCATTATGAAGATACAAAATAGTCTCGTATCGAACTAACAATTTGAAAATTTTGGTGGTGAAATCTCACATCAACTAGAAAGAGGAACAAAACTTTATTTACAGAGTGTTGAAATCTTTCTCTAATAGACGCGTTTCAAAATCATGAAACTGATAACGATACGTAACATATTCAAGCAGTCAATATCAGTTAGTGGTGGGCATGAATTATTACATGTCTATACGAACATAGTCACGAAATACCGTTACAAAGACACGTAAAGATTCGTTATCGAGAGAATGGGCATACCAATGGCAAAGTAATGGAGCAGCAGCACGCGAGGAGCCACACAGACACCAATATATCTTTCTAATCTTTTCCACCATCAGAATCTGTGCACTTCCCTCTGCACCATTCTGATGACTCAAAGCTCAAAATCCTTCTATATACAAATATATAGTTAAAGCTAAAGTGCCTGTAATAATTCAATTCCCCATAAATTTTTAATCTAGAAAACATCACTGGAATATTCTCTCAACATTATAATCATTTTTTAATCATACACGTACTTCAAGAAGATATAATTTTGTAACAGCTCAAGCACCGTTAACAGATATTATTAGTCTTACAATTTTAAAACGTATCTGTTAAAGAGATTTTTACACTCCATTCTCCTCTCTATCTGATGTGGGATTTCACAAGCTTTTAACAGCGTAAAGCACATTATGAGAGACATTGAAGGAAGCTGGTTGTTCGGGGAATTGAGACTACTGGAATCATCAAAACACCAACCACGAGAAGTGAAGATCACTATTGAAAATTGGTTTCGTTTACGAGTTTTGTTTAGAACAATTGTAATCACTTTTGTCCGCTTTAAAATCAGTAAGATCACTCCCGAACATGTCTCAAGTCAAATTTAGCTAAGACCAGCACGGTTATAGGATGTTTTTTAAAAAAAATCTAATAAAAAAAAGTGGAAGCATAAGAGAGCACAACCTGTCTAATTCTTTGTATTTTCCCATAATTACAAAAATTTCATTCTCTATAATTAATATTAGAAAATTAAAAAAAAAAAAAAAGAAAAAAAAAAACAAACCCAAACCCAAACCATACCTACCTCAAAGGCCTAGGACAAAACACAAAGATTAAAAAAAACCGAACCAAACTGAAAAAAAATATAAACAAATTCTCACGAGTAACAAAACCCGCTACTTGCTCGAGACCATGTAAACAGTATGGTCTTTATCATGTCGTGACGTTACCTTCAGTTTGATGGTTGTAAACAGTACCATTCGCACTCTTCGACTTGACAATATGGAACTTCTCAACAGCTTTCGTTCCTTTACGAGTTCCTATCAGGATAGGTAGGTCTGATCCACACTGCTCACCGTGTATGTACCACAATAACTCATTATCCCTTTCCAACCACTCTCGACCCAAATCGCTGCCCAAGACACTACGTTCTATCCTATAACGTTCTTTTCGAGGATATTTATTCATAATAAGAAGAATTATGATACTTTTAAGGGCATCTAACGGTCCTGCCAGGACCTCCATAGTAAAAGTAAGTGCCCCAAACGTTATTGCTGCCTTGTCTGATATCATAGCAATCAGAATGGTCAGCCAAGACATGAAGATTTGTGAGAGGAAGCAAGTTGTTGTCCCAATCAACCACTTGTAAGTTCCTGAAATAAGAAGCTTTGCCAAAGCCTTCTTCAGCAAAATGGCCACTCCCCATTTGTGTGGCTGTGTGGAACCCTGAAGCTCTTCTGTTCACTACTTCACCTCCAAATTGTACCATGCTTGCATGGCTCCTTAAATGGCTGAATAGAAACGCTGGCCAGTACCCGACGAGCATGCCTGACCCGTACTCGAGCCACCAGTGTCCGTGCTTTGGATCCTGTGGCCATAGTTTAACTTAGATATGCTATGAACAAATGAAAACTTAAAGGGCTCGTTTGGTAATGTTCTGGTTGTTCCACGAATGAAAATTTAAAAAGGTTCATTTGGTAACATTCTGGTCGTTCTACAAATGAAAACTTAAAGGGCTCGTTTTTGGTAACATTCTGGTCGTTCCATAGATGAAAACTTAAAGGGCTCGTTTGGTAACATTTTGGAACAATGAAAACTCAAAGGGCTCGTTTGATAACATTCTGGTCGTTCTACAAATGAAAACTTAAAGGGCTCGTTTTTTGGTAACATTCTGGTCGTTCCACTAATGAAAACTTAAAGGGCTCATTTTTTGGTAACATTCTGGTCGTTCCACAAATGAAAACTTAAAGGGCTCGTTTTTTAGTAACATTTTGATCGTTCCACAGATGAAAGCTTAAAGGGCTCATTTGGTAACATTCTGGTTGTTTCACAAATGAAACTTAAAAGGGCTGGTTTGGTAACAATTTGGTCGTTCAACAAATGAAAACTTAAAGGGCTCGTTTTTTGTAACATTCTGGTCGTTCCACAAATGAAAACTTAAAGGGCTCGTTTTTTAGTAACATTCTGATCGTTCCACAAATGAAAACTTAAAGGGCTCGTTTGGTAACATTCAGGTCATTTCACAAATGAAAATTTAAAGGGCTCGTTTGGTAACATTCGGGTCATTCCTTGTCTTTAATTTTAAAGAAACGTAAAGATTTGATAACCGAGATCGTACACGAATTTAAAACATTTGACGTTTGTAAATTTCGGGTTTTTTTTTGGGTCAATATAAAAAAAAAGTGCAATAAATGAACTTACCTTCCAAACCATTAAACCAATATCAAACTGTTTCCCTCTGTAAGAGGAAACAGGCGAAATTGCTGCTCCAATGGCTATCCTGTTATTGGTTTGAACAAATCCTGAACAAAGCAGATTGTAGCATCCAGTGGCTTGATAAGCATCAGTCTGCCAACAAAAAAACAACGTTAATTCTGTCTGTTCTTTGAAACCTTAAAGTAATCGAGTTCAAGACATGAAAACTCACTGTCCAGTATGTGAAGAATCTAGGATTGTTGTCGCCATAGAGTTCAGGACTAACCTAAACAAAAGATCAAACGAAAAGGAAGATTAAAGCACAAGAATTTCAAGAACATTCAAGAACACTCAAGAACGCTCAAGAACTTGCCTGCCATCCAGCTTCTATGGTGTTCAAATCATTGCCAAATGAGCCTGAAATGATCCATATCTGTGATAAGCTGAATTCGTATTGATCTGTTACACGAGGTGCCCATATGTTCAAGCTTGCCTTTGCTCCATAATATTGTTCTCCATTAACGAACACCACTGCATGCTGTAATCATTCAAACCTCTTAATTAGCTGAATTTTCATCATTTCAGCTCAACAAAAGCACCCTTTTTGGATGAATAAAGTGACTTAGCGTAAAGAAAAAGGAACGATGATTTAGGTTTGAATCCTAACCTCATGGCCATTGCCAGAAGAATCTCTTCTCACATGTCTAATGGGTTTTCTTCCAAATCTTCGAATAGAATTTGCTCTGAAAATGTCTTTTTCTGTTGTTCTTCTGATCGGAATTGTCCCTTCCGGGCAAAACTCGCCGGAAGCTGACCATAACTGGTGGTTATCCGCCACTTCCTCCATGGATTTGTTGCTTCTCGGCCTCTCAGGCGGTTCCTATTCATCAGAAACTTCCAATTCTCTCAATCAACCCAAAAAAATTTCACCCATAGAAAAAGATTCTGATTTTGAATTGGTTACCAATGGGGAGTGTCCTTTGAGCTCAGGATGGTCAAAGGCAGGCTGGAGATGAGAAAGAACACAGTCTATGACATCACCATCTGAGCTCTGCAGCAGAACATAACATAACAGAACAGAACAAAACAAAACATTCAGACAAAAACAACAGCAACCCAGATTGTCAAATTTGCAGAACAATCAAAACTTCGAGGAAAAACCAAGATTTCTTTTACCTGAATTGTCTTGATTGGAGGCTTGTTGATTTTGCGCAAATAAGCTCTGATGTTCTTAAGCTTCTTCAGCTCTTTGGTGGGGTGGAATAAAGTTTGGTTTTTTAGTGGCATTTGATGGGCTATGGAAGTTGAGAAAACAGAAGCCAAAGAAGTAAAAACCAGAAGGAAAACAACAAAACAAGAACAGGAAGAACAAGAAGAAGAACAAGAAGAAGCCATTTGGTTGGAATGTTTCGAAGAAGTCGTTTGTTTTACTGTAATGATTTGTGATTTGTAAGTATTGAGGTTGTCTGGTTGTGTGTCTCACAGCTTACTTCATTTCTCTCTAATCTCAGCTCAAGTCCATACAAAAGAGATAACCATTCCAACAAAAACACAAACTTTGGTTTTGTTTTCTTCTCCTTTGCCTCACCATTCCCAACATCAAATATAAATCTCTCTCTCTCCCTCCCCCCCCCTCTCTCTCTCTCTCTCTCTCTCTCTCTCTCTCTCTAAAGGGTTTGGCTTACTAAAAAATTCCAGGCATAAGGGTTTTAAAACAGACCCATTTTAAGTTGAGAAGCAACTTTTCATATCAAGCAGTCAAAAACATCAAAAAGAGCAGTAAATTTCATTTCTTACCAAAGAGGAGAGAGAAAGAAATGAGAGAGAGAGAGAGAGGGAGAGGGAGAAGGATTCAAGCTTGGAGACTGTACTGAGCTGCAGACAGTTAAGATTTGGGTAAGGAATGGCAGGAACAACATTCAAACCTTAAATGGGAAATCTTCATACCTTTTTCCTAAGATATCAGTAAAAAAAAACTTACCTCCTTTAAGGTCATTTACCCCTTAAATTTAAACCACAGCTATGTTTGAAAATGATTGCGCTTTCTTTAAGGCACATACCTACACAAACTGCCCAAACCCACTCCATTTCCATTCAATGTCTCTGCAGTTCATCAGTACATTAATGTTGGGTCACTGTCTGTAATGGGCAGCTGTAAAAAATTCAGCTTCAGAAAGGAAAAAACTGTAAAATTTTGATGGATGGTGTAAATTTTTGAGGAAGAACAAAGGTCCCAGGTTGCTTCTTTTTGCAAGAATTTGAAGTGGTGGGTCATTTTCAGTGATTATTTCCACACCAAGAAGAGAGGTGGAGGGGTTACTTTTTTTGCTCTCTGCTATTCTTTTTGACCATCAAAACTAGATCTTTTGGCCTTGATTATGCTAAATCATGATACCCATTTGCTCACTTCCATGAATAACTCAATCAAAGAACAGTGTTTAGGAACAGGAAAGGTATCAGTTCATCTTTTTACCATCAAAATAGACCATTTGTGACCCAAATCCTTAGAACCCATGTGCTCATTTCCATCAAGATATCAGATAAAGATAGTGTTGGTTGTAAAATGGAATGATTATCATCCTAAATGACTGCCAAAATTGTCTTGAATTTGCTTTACTTTTCTCATCATGGTTGCCCATTGGATATCATGATCATCATCTCTGCATTCCTTTTGATATCAGTTCTTGATTCAAGCAGTTTATATGAATGCGAAAATGATGGGTCAATGGAAGAGTTAAGTTGAAGCTTATGAAACTTCACGAAGGTTTTTACTTAGCTTCTAAGAGTTCCAAGAGAAATGCATAAAGGAATATCTAACAGCTAAAAATTCCACTATCTTGATCAGTAAATTGGAAGAGAATGAGATTTGATTCAAAGCATTGCCTTTTAATCTCATGGACCATTCAACTCCATGAGGAAAAAGAATCCAATCTTCACCATAGACATATGTGAGTGCCCATATGTTTGTGCATCATGATGATACAAACAGTGCCTCGCATTTTTGGCCCTTTGGCCCTTCATTTTCTGCCAGTCATATTGTCTATTCCTGTGCAACTATGAAATCTTTTTTCTTTGACATTCCAAAGTCGGTGGGGATGTAAGCGCTTAAGCCAACCGCTAGCAGATATTGTCTCTTTTGGGTTTTCCCTTTCGGGTTTTCTCTCAAGGTTTTTAAAACGCATCTGTTAGGGGAGGTTTTCACACCCTTATAAACAATGTTTCGTTCTCCTCCCCAATCGATGTGGGATCTGACAAGTAAAGTCCCTAATAGATATTGTCTTCTTTGGGTTTTTCCTTTCGGACCTCCCCTCAATGTCTTTAAAACGCATCTACTAGGGGAGGTTTCCAAACTCTTATTATAAAGAATGATTCGTTCTTCTCCCCAACCGATGTGGGATCTGACAAGTAAAGTCCCTGGTAGATATTGTCCTCTTTGGGTTTTTCCTTTCGGACTTCCCCTCAATGTTTTTAAAACGCATCTACTAGGGAAGGTTTCCAAACCCTTATAAAAAATGGTTCGTTCTCCTCCCCAACCGATGTGGGATCTGACAAGTAAAATCCCTAGTAGATATTGTCCTCTTTCGACTTTCCCTCAAGGTTTTTAAAACGTGTCTACTAGGGAGAGGTTTCCACACCCTTATGAAAAATGTTTTGTTCAACTACCCAACTGATGTGGGATCTAACAAGTAAAGTCCCTAACAGATATTGTTCTCTTTGAGCTTTCCTTTCAGGCTTTCTCTCAATATTTTTAGAACGCATCTACTAGAGAGAGGTTTTCACCCCCTTATAAAGAATGCCTCTTTCTCTTCCCCAACCAATATGAGATCTGACAAGTAAAGTCGCAGTCTCAAAGTGACTAAGACCTTGTCGAGGCAATGAACCTAAGCCATTTAAGTCTTCTTCGAGCGAATCGAAAGCTAGCTCTTATCCACGAGAACTTCTTTACAAACGCACCAGCTACATCAATGTTCACCCGAATCACAAGTTATTGGCTAACTTAGTCCAAGTTAAACTATTTACCAAATGACAAACAAGCACTCATTAGGCATGCATTTTATCAGATAAACATGGGAAGAAAAAGGGCTAAAAATCCCTCTAATATTTAAAGACAAGTACCATTTGTTATAAAAAGTAATGATACCCCATGAAGTGTGGCTTGGCACTAGCAGAGGCACAAAAGGGAATGGACATTACCCAAGTTTTCTTTTGTGGGGCTCTGGGAAATGGTGCTTCATGCTTGCCACTTTCAAGGACAACCCTTTATTTTAAATTATTCAGTTTTAAAATTTAAATTCTCTTCTTTTCAGGCAGCCCCACTTAGAAGTTACAAGTTAAAAACACCTCAGCAACAGCAAAAGAAGCTATGAAGGACAAAGTGGAGGAATAATGGTCCATATTTCACAGTGGGTCAGTCTCATTAGAACCAACAACCAGCACATAATAAAACAGCCTTGTCAAGTTCTTGAACAGTGAATCCATGCCTTGTTCCTAAAGTTGGTCTGAGTCAACAGATTCCAAGTCATCAAAATGAAAAAAAAAATGTATTGAATTATATTTAGATTCTTCACTGATTTTAATTTTAATTTAAAGATTACCTTTTTGAAGGGAAACATATCTGACTTTGGTTTTGGCAAAAAGGCAACTTACAAATTGATATTATATATAAGAGTTAGAATTAACGTGTCAGATCTTACATTGGTGAGAGATGAGAACGAAACATTTATTCTAAGGGTATAGAAACCTCTCTTTAGCATACACGTTTTAAAATAGTGAGGCTAATGACGATACGTAACGAGTCAAAGCGACAATATCTGTTAGTAGTGGGTTTTGAGCTGTGACAAATGGTATAAGAGCCAAACACTAGGTGGTGTGGCAGCGAGAACGCTGGGCTCTCAAAGAGGTGGGTTATGAGATCTCATATCTGTAAGAGAGGGGAACGAATCATTCCTTATAAGGGAGTGGAAACTTCTCTCTAGCAGACGCGTTTGAGAACCATGAGGTTGACGGCGATATGTAATAGGTCAAAGCGTACAATATCTGTTAGCGGTGGGCATGAGCTATTACAAATGGTATTAGAGTCAGACACTGGGCGGTGTGCCAGTGAGAACGCTGAGCTCTCAAAAGGGGTGGATTTTGAGATCCCACATCGGTCGGAGAGGGAAAAGAAACATTCCTTATAAGGGAGTGGAAACCTCTCTCTAGCAGACGCGTTTTAGAACCGTGAGGTTGCCGACGATATGTAACAGGTCAAAGCGGACAATATCTGTTAGCGGTGGGTTTGAGCTATTATAAATGGTATCAAAGTCAGACACTGGGTGGTGTGCCAGTGAGAACGCTGGGCTCTCAAAAGAGGTAGATTGTGAGATCCCACATCGATCGGAGAGGGGTATGAAGCATCCTTATAAGGGAGTGGAAACCTCTCTCTAAACGCATTTTAGAATTGTGAGGTTAACGACGATACGTAACGAGCCAAAACGGATAATATCTGTTAGTAGTGGGCTTGGACTGTTACAAATATATCAAAGCCAGACACCAGACGGTGTGCAACGAGGATGCTAGCCCCAAGAGGGGTGGATTGTGAGATCCCACATCGGTTGGAGAAGGGAACGAAGCATTCCTTATATGGGTGTGAAGACCTCTCCTTAGCAAACGTATTCTAAAATCGTGAGACTGATAATGATAGGTAACGAGTCAAAACAGACAATATCTATTAGCGGTGGACTTAGGCAGTTACATAACCTAAAAGAGATAACTTGAAATTACATTAGTGAATCTTGGATATAGTGGCTACGAAGTGACTCTCATGTGAGACCCATGAGTACAAATTTACTTGATATCTTCAAAACAGAATAATTTCCTTTTCACCATCTTTAAATAATCAAAGCATCATTAGCCACTAATTACAATTAGCTTTAAAAAGAATGGATGGTGATGAACGTTTTGCTCTAGAGTTAGGGTAGGTTATTTCTTTCTTGGGGTGTTTCTTCCCATATAATCTCTGTATATTCCTATTGGATATTGAGTGGAAAAAGGAAAGTCCACCTAAACTTGTGTCCTGTTCATATTCATTAGTCAAGAGTTTATTTATGAGGAAGCACTGTTCATATGCTTGTGTTCTAAAGCATGAAATGAAACTTGTTTGAAAAAAAAGAAAAAAAGTGAGCACTTACAGGGAATAATGTTGGACTGTGATTGATGGCGGTGGCACTAAGCCTTGAAGAAGAGTTGAGGAAGATGGTGATGTGAGCTCTGCTGATCATCTGAATGTGGACACCACATGATGCCATCTTTGCAATACAAAAACTGCACCTCTTTTTGCAACCTTTATGAAAGAAAAAAGCACAAATTTCTGTGACTTTTCAAAAGTATCATTACAAAAAATTTGTATAAAGAGTTTAAATAAATGTGTACTGGTGACTGCCTAAATCTATTGCTAGTAGATATTGTTCGTTTTAGCTCGTTACTTATCGCTGTCAGCTTCTATTAGGGAGAGATTTCCACACCCTTATAAAGAATGTTTAGTCCCCCTTTCCAACCCTTGTGGGATCTCACAATCCACCCCCTTGGGGCTTAGTGTCTTCGTTGGGACACTGCCCGGTGTTTGACTCTTATACCATTTGTAACAGCTCAAACTCACTG